TAGTATGACCAAAGGTCAGGTCATTCCTATCACATGGCACCAATGTATAAACTATTTTAGTTTGGAGTCTAAAGAACAACAAAGCATCGAGATATATATATATATATATATATATATAAATAAAAGTGACAGACTTTGGTTACATGTTTGAAAAGGAGGCTTGACTGATTTGAGGACGCTTCAGCAAAAACACCACCACGAACTGGGGACAGCATGTCCCTGTGATGCACCAGCCAGATGGTCAAACCACAGCGCGGAGAAAAAAGCAAAAGAGAATGTGCGACAAAGCCTACTTTCAACACAAAAGTGGTGTTTGATTCATCAATTGTCGTCTCAGTGACAAATTTAATGGCGAATATGGACTATAAAAAGCGAGCTCTGCTCCTCAAAATAGTCCATGCTGGACTATCTTCAGCACAACAAACATATTTGGAACAGGATTATGTCAACGTCCTCTGTGGTTTGTACTGCAAAAATGCAAACGGCATTCATCAATCGCATAAACACAAACCAGATGTTCTTCTATTGAAGAAATCAATGGCGGAGGCTTTGCACCTCTTGAGCAAAAGAGCAAGATATGTTTCCTCCTCTGCAACAAATGGAAATCAATAAAATAACTACGTCTCAGTCCTGCTGTGATCTCAGGCCAGCACAAATCTCCGCGAAGTGTGTCAGAGTGAGAGACAGACAGCAGGACCCCCCCCCCCCCGCCACCACCACCACTGCCTCCCGCCCCCGAAGTCCCAGGGAAACGTGTGTATGCATGTTTGCGTTTGCGTCTTCCTCCTTCACTTCCCACTTTATCCCACTTCACCCCACCCACCCGCTTCTTCCTTGTTCTGCTGCCTCTCGCCTCTCTTGAGCTTTCAGTGCCATGTCTCTTACTCTCTCACGGCATTCTATTCCCCATTTGATCAAATTCGTGCAAAGACACGCAGGGCTATTTTTAGGAGAGTGGTGCTTTTTTATCAGCCTGCGCCTATTTGTGGCGCTCACAATCACACAGAGGGCTTCCTGGCTGCTGACGTTAGCAGTGCAGCGCTGCAGAGAGAAGTGGGGAGGAGCGAAAGAACTAAAAAAAAATGGGGGAAAGACACCAAATGGAAAAAAGAAAAGGGGAAGAGAATAAAAGAAGAGTTTGCTTGATGGCGCAGCACTTAACATGACGCCCACCCTCACGGGGGAGTGAAAAGGTTTATTTCTGTCTAGGAAATGGCAGGCGGGGGAAAGAGCGAGTGCACATAAGGTCTCTACTCTCTATACATGTTTAGCTCCCCTCCCTGCTTTCTCTGATATATTACAAACCCTGCGTGGGGGGGGGGGGACGTTTGGGGGGGATCAGTTAGAAAAAAGAAAGCCCTCAAGAGAGTTTGGATTAGTGGAGAAATGCCAGCCACGTGGCAGGTTGGGTAAACAGATTTCAGCAAACCCAGGACACCCATGACGCCATACATCCTTGGCATTCCCTCACCGGCCACAACATGAGATACAGTAGCAAACTTTAAAAAAACAAAAACAAAAAAAAAAACAAAGACATAGACTGAATGCAAGACCTTTATTCACTTTATGTAGGAGACTGCCGATATTTTAACACTGCTTATTACTTTGGCTTTCGTTTGCAGTGGTGTAGAGCTGCAGTGCATCATGCTGACTCACATAAAGGTTACTGAATAACTTATTTCAAGTTAACCGTTACTCAAATACAACTCTTTCAAATCGTGAGCTGTTTATGTCTAGCAATACTGTAGTATTGCTTGCAATACTGTGGTATAATGTATGAATAACAAAGGGGAACTCAAGTTAAAAAAAAAAAAAAAAACTTGCAATATTGTTCAATGTACCACCAGTAGTTTAAACACAATATCCTGATTCCTGGTGCAAATAATATCCTGATTTATATTGAAATTGTGGAATACAAATTACCATTTTTTTTATTTATTTGACCAAAATCTAGACCAATCCTCCCAAAAAGTGTGATTTATAGTCTGAAAAATACGGTTAAGAAAATTCATCCATCTTACGGGGGTTAGATTTTATCCTGCATTATTCTTTACTATCACCTGAAATTGAAGTCAAACTGCCCCCGGTCTCACATTGCAAATGTCACTTGACCAAATCCAGAAAAACGATGATGCGTGTGGTCATACTGTGTTGTGTTTCCTTAAACATGCCAAATATATGTGAAGCAACACTTGCAGTCAAAATTGATTTCGACTGGAGATTTGAATGAAGCTGGTGCTTTTTTGAAATTGTGGTCTATCCTCCACTCGTCTGTGTGCCGCACTTCAAAGCCGGATACAGTTCCAACTGTGAGTGAGTGAACACGCGACAGGCACGCAACACTTGCAAAGTGAATTGAAACACCGAAAATCATCTGTCCATAAGGACGCATTGTTCCATCTTGTATATTTTACATAACACCACATCACTCAACACAAGGAGCATCTTGTGGGTCAGTGCTCTGAGGTGTTTTGACTCATTCGGCTTCATTGGCGGAGTCAAACCAGACAAACCGGAAGATACAAGCTACGGTGTCACCTTTAGGGGCAGGGAGGAAAAAGTCAACACCACTTGATAATGACGGAATTTCCTTTGTGGATTGGGGGAGGTTTCCTAGTTTCGCACTTAGCTTCAAGCTACGGGAGTCAGTCACTCTGCAGGCTCATTCAGTCAATATGTAATGAGAGGACGCACCAGAGCAATTGTTTACACTAGGACCTGTTTGCAGCTACTGCTGCTGAGACAGCTGCGATGTCGGAAAGAATGCTCAAGAGAATGTAAAGATGATGGGAAGGGAGACAACCAGTGCGCTTATATCGCTTATATTTTTAAGACCGCTTGCTTAAGACCACAAAGCTGAGGGGGGTTCACTGCAGCAACGGCAGGGCCGTTCTCGAAGCAATTTAATATTTGACGCTCACAACAACACCAACTGTCGCGTGGGTGTTTCGTGAATGATTCCTCACCTGCACAAGGAAGATGATCAGGAAGTAGAAATTGGCAATTCTTCGGAACTGCTCAAACAAGTTCTTTGGTAAAAAGTTCCACACCGTATACTGTGAGAAGGAAACAAAGACGTTAGTGAGCACATACATGTAAAATTCATTTAACAAGGATTTCATATTTATAAGCATGCGTGTATTCCGTCTGAGAGGAAGAAGAACAGCAAAGGCAACTTCCGACAGATTTGACTTTGGGTAACTACCGGTAGATGTTTTGCGCTGATTAAAACTGGAGATTTATCACCTAGAATTTTGATACCCTTGAATAATGTTAGTGAAACAAATGACATTGGCAAGTCTTTCAGCGGCGTATTTTGTATGTTTAGAAGTGAGAATGACTGCTGCTGGTGTCAGTTGGACAGAAGCACCGCCTTATCGGCTAACAGACAGATCATCCATGCCCTGCTGCTAACTTGGCACTGGACAACTCATGTGCAGGACATGCTAATTACTTCTTGAAATGACGATGTCGGCTATGGTAAGGAGGCCACTTTGAAACAGGTGGAAAATGTACCACAGCAGCCAAGTGGAGACTTTAAAGTATAACAACAAGCACGGCAACATGCTCAACTAAAATTTACAAACATTTGATAATGCCCAGTAGTGGTTTGTAAACATCACCCATTTCTATGCTTGGTATTAGAAATATTGGTCGTCAGAGATGAGCGTAAGCCACATATTGTCGCTCTTGGCCAGAAAAGCGTATACATCCTAATTTTCTTTTCCTATTTTGGCACAAATCGCTTTTTTATTTTTATAAATTATGAGCCAATCTAAAGTAGGCATATTAAAACCGCCCAAACCATTTTTTAAGTTCAGTTTGCACAAGTCTCCCCCAACCTCCCTCCTCCATGAGCGCTACACCAAAATGGCGGCATACAGATGTTTCATTTCAAATGAATTCATTTTGGTGGTATTCAGAGCCAAAAAAGATGAGAATTGTGTGTGCTCATGAATGAAGAGACGAAGTAGTTTATTTATGAGCTGAGCTCATCCATGTATGATTATCATCAGATGGATAGTACTAAATAATACACATAATAATCTCTCCTCTATCCCTCTTGGATATGAATTATGACATCTCAGTCGAGGTGCATCACGTAAGACAAGTTAAAGAAAAATAAACTTGCCTTGTAACTTCATCTTTCATTTAGAATAATGATTAGATCAGTATTTTCCAACCTTTGGAGTCAGGTACCTCTTTTTACATGAGAAAAACCTCATGTTAAACTAACAAACAAAAATATCACCAAAACTCTGCTAACTGAAAGGTACTTAGTGTAAAATGTGGGCTAGCCCATCAACTAAGAAGGTAAGTTTGCAATCGTGTTCGTCACAACAGATTCACACATTAGCAGTAACACTTTTTTTTACTTTTTTTTTAATGTAGTTATGTAGATCAAGTCAAAAAAATTTTCTCATTTTCGGTTTTTGCCAAGCAAGTCTCAAGTCCTAAAATTGTCATCTCAAGTCTGGCTTGCCCCCCCCCCCTCCACACACACATTAGATTGTAGCATCTGTCTCTGCTAATGGAAAACCATTGGCAAGTCGAATTGTGACAAGACAAGTAGGCACACTGAGTTGGAAAAAGGAACTTATATAGCACCAAGGAAAAAAAAAAAACCAACCACCCCCCCCAAAAAAGCCAGACACACACAAATGGGAAGGAATGCTGAGATATATTCTTCAGACACTGACAAAGCAATAAGGTAGTGGTTATGAAGAGAATACATCAGACATGGGGATGGTGTTGAAATGCAACCACAGCAGAATAGTCCATCTCATTTTGCCAGAAAAAAAAGGAGGAAAAGTAATGAGAAAAGAAGACACGGTGGCGAGAAAGGGGACAGGCGGGTGTCGTGGTGGTGGTCTCAGTAGCATGCTGCAACAGCAAGTAAGAGTTGAAAAGTGGCAACGGGACAATATAGACTGTGAAAGCAAAAAGCATGACAGAGTTGCGGCATGAAGGAGCATAAACACTACCGGGGTAATTAAAGTCAGTTTACCCTGACATACGGGCAGACGCAATTGATGGACCCATCCTCACCCGGGTCCTCTGCACCACGATAAATCCAGCTGCCGTCCTACTCTTGGCTTCCCACCCTCCAATAACCAATCATAACCACGCGCTAGGAAGGCAAAATTAGCCAGAAACTGCATCAGAAGCAAGGGGATGAGATTTACAGGAAGGGGCGTGCATTCTATCAGGGCCTAGAAAGATTGAATTGCTCACCCTGCCAGTACATTAATAGACGTGTATGTCACCGCCAAAGCCAGCGCTCCCATGACATACTAATAATCGTCTTTGGCTGAAAGAGATGTGGAGTATCTGGAGAGGTACTGAAATGAAGGTATAAAGAACGATGGGAATGGCGATGCGAAAGGTCAGTTCAATTCCAAGCATTGGAAATATGCTTGAAGCTAAACATATGCTGAGGACCCTCAATTGCAAAACAGGATTCACTGAGCTGCTCGTTCTGGTAACTAAACTGCCGGCGTGATAAGTAGTGGGTCATTGATTGTGATCGGTGATCAATGCCTTTCATTGCCGATCACAAAAAAGAAAAACAAAAAGAAAAAAAAAAATATCACCTGGAGCTCGTACTTTGCCTCCAGCAGCCAACAAGAGACCAGCACACGTGCTTAAAGGGGAAGTCAACCGCAAAACTTTCTTTCCCATAATATGTTCTAGGCAATTGTACGGGTCGAAACACGGCATTCTGATTCATATTGCGTTTGTGGAATATGAGTTAAGCAGCAAAATCCATCCGTTTTTAAGCCATCGCAGGAGGCGGCCACTTTGTCAATTTCTGTCGGTTGAAAATGACCTCACAATTCCTCGGGGCTCAGCTAACAACCGATCATGGTTCGCCTGTTTTATGAAGCTGAAATAAAATGAAATGTCAACAGTGTGTAAACAAAAAACAAATAAAGTAAAAATGTGTTCAGATCTAAAGTTTTAAGGCATTCTAGTTAGTATCTTTATAGTATTTTGTTGAACTAATACAAATAAAACAAAGTTGATTAGCTGCCGGCTATTATTTCAGTGCTTTTACTCATGTTTTAAGTTTTTGCCGTGGGGTCGTTTCCTTTTTTCATCTTCTTTTAAAGTCATAGAAAAAAACTGACCTGTTTTGTCACCTGCTGCTTGTTGTAAGCAATGTTGTTCTTGCAGTCAAATATATCTTCAATCGCTGTCAATCTTTACATCATTCTAAGTACTGTATGCCAATTGAGATCATTTACATCAGTCGATATGGTCATGCTGTACCGCCCCGAAAAAAAAAAAAAAAAGTGTGACCTAATAATCTGTGCTGGGCCAACTTTTTCAGTTGGTCGCACGAGTGTAACAAAAGTTAGGGTAGAGCCTTGATGTTACACCGCAGCCATTAACCACTGATAGTCGCTTATTCATTGAGCAGGTTTGTCACCACAGCATAATAATTTCTGCAAAGAACTGCCAAAAGTAAACGTTAGCTTGCCTGCCTCTCCAATATGAGGCACACTTAAGTTCTGTCCAAAAGTGCACCATTCAAATGAGCATAGTTGGGTGCTTCTTTGTCGTGGATCGAGTTGCCTATGATTTCTCGAAGACCCCGTCCTCCAAGTGCAGTGGATAAAAAAATATGTTAAGGTCGTTGTTTCTCAGCACACATGTCGCAGACATTTCCGCGAGGGTCAAAGTCATTGCATTGCATAGCGTAGAGAGGTTTGCGTCACAAACACTAAGTACATTATGAAGTCCACGCCGCTGGTTATGTTTTTTGCAGTTCCTGCTGTGTTATAATTATGGTGAACAACAGTTTATTCCAACAAGAGCGCAGTAGGGAAGACCCGAGCTGGTTTCTGCGCATTTAAAACAGGCAGCAGGTGTACACCCCAAGTGGCGTCTTACCTTGGACGACACGATTCTGTTGTCACAGAACTTTGGCGGGATGAAAGGCTCGCTAGCAGAACATGGCCGATGACCAACGTAGATAGTCCGACTGTCTACTCTTCTTTCATCGCCTTTAAGCTGTGGGGAGGAGCAGAGGAGTAAGCATGGAGGGAAAATGGAGAGCTTCGAGATGGAGATATCGATGATTAAACTGTGAATACCAATAGAATGTGGCACAAAAATTAAATGTACTACTGGACTACCGTGTGTACTAAGAATTGCATTTTCTATTCTAAAGGCGGGCAAGGTGGCTAGTAGAAGTCCTGCAACGCACCACTTGTGTAAATTGGGAATTGTTGCAGGAAAATAAAGAGTAGGGAAACAGAAGCCGCTTAAGTCTTTGGATTTGAGTGTTGTTTTGTTTTTGAACGTGTAATTTGCTTCGGCGTTTCCCCGAGGCACCATTTTCACTGAGCCTCTTACTCTTGCTTTTACACTTCCCCACTTTCATTTAAGGAGCACGACCTCACATAGTATCTCGCAAGAGACAAGGAAGGAAATGTGACATATTGGTTTTCATTCTTCGGTGAAGGTCGTGCATTGTTCCGTCCTATAGCCATGTTGGTTACCCAGTAACGGCATAACATTATTCCCCTCTTCCAAATGACATTCTCATATCCATCGTTCACCTGAAAGGCTTTCTTTTGCGGTCTTTGTTTGATAAGTGCCTTCGACCGCAAAACAAAAACAAATGAAATAAAAACCTTCGCGTGAGCTATCAGAAAGAACCGAAATATTTTCATGTCATAGCGAGCTCCTATTTTAACCCTTTCACGCACCCTGTAACCCGACAACATGATAAGCTGTCCGCTGTCGTGACCGCTGTCCCTGAAAGGGTTCAGCAAAAACGAGCATATAAAAGGAGTTTTTACATTCAACCATTTCATTAAAATTCACTGCCAGCTGTTTTCAAAGCAGTCTGCCATCTGTTTTTAGAGCACTTGGACTAATCTTTCGTGGCCCATTGAACCTTGTCAAATACAACACATATTCTGTTCAAGTGTGATGCCGAAACTTGTCGTCTAACTTTTTTTTACAGGTATGTAGACGCTTGAATTTCACAGGCAATCTGGGTGACCCTCTTCGACGCCGACCCGTTGAGAAACGGAAGATATTCACCAGTGGCAGTAAATGTTTGGATTCCAGTCGATTAATATAAACATCCACGAAAGTAAATGAGCTAAGCATTCTCCTCTGGTTTTAAAAATGTAGCACTAGGTTCAATAGCCGAAAAGACGCGGTCACAAACCAACCCAGTAACTTACAAAGCTTCTTTTTTTTTTATCCTGGCAACACTGTCCCTGTTAAAATGTGTAAAGCAAGCTGGGCAGCAGCTTTATCTGATATAAAGCTCGACAACATTTGGGTCGAGGAAGACAATTATGATGAACATCTCCTCGTGGCCTCGTGCCAGCGAGAATTAGCGCAACCTCGACGGCGATCTCACAGGAATTTCGGTCTCAAACAAATCCTCGAGTGACTGAATTTCAGATGATGCAACCTTTCGCTCAGCATTACGGGTGAAATCACACATGAAACAAAAGAAAGATCATACTGCTTATATTCATCCTTCAAGACCTTCGCACTACCCGCACCGCAGACAGGAGCCAGAATGTTTGCATAAGGCCTCTCTGTATGCGCAAGCAGCCATGTTCACACCTCGGTGTATGTGTCAACGCTCCCATCTCCATCTTGGATGGCACACATTAATAAGCCCTGGACCACATGGACCCGGCTGGCTGCTGCCAGAGGATCAAGCGGGAGAGAGAAAGACTGCGAGAGAGGACGTACAAAAAATATATATTTAAAAACGAACAACCCACATGGGCAGATGCCACTCCTTTATATTAAAACCATAACTAGCCCCCCCTGTGGGAACACAAAGGACTATTGTCGCACATTTATTAGACTCAGACGGCTGAATCATTCGTCCTTTCTGCGCTCTGAAATACTCACAAACAAAAGTAATGGCTTTGCTGATATACACGGACCGATCTTTTACCTGCAGTCAACTCTGCAGAGGGTGGCTTGCCCTTGAGCCATGCTAATGTCGACTGTAACGAAAGGTTGCCGCGGGCTTTTGATGAAGATTAAACACACAATTGCTGAAAAGCTGCCTAAGCAAGGTCTGACTTTGCTGATGACATTCGCCAAGAAACATTGGGGAGCTTGAAAGCCGGATTTACACGGGAAGTGGCCATGTAACCGCGACTTGCTCGAGGAAGGATGTGCAAAACGCGCGTACCAAGAGCGGCTGGACTCCTTCCAATCTGACATCACATTGGCAAGGGCGCCACCAAAGTAATGTTACTCTCTTGACTGTAACATTGTCTTGAAATGAACATTTGCAACCAGTTATGAGACTTAGCGTGTCGACAGTGGGTGAAATAAATGCTGTCGACTCGCTAATAAGGCAGCAAATACTCATTTTCTGACATTTAAGGACTTTTTTTTTTTTTTTTTTTGCGGTACATTAAATAAAAAAAAATTATGTCAACTGTGCTGTTTGGCTATTTCTCTTCGATACAAGTTGGAGGAGAGAACTACATAGCTATTTTTCATTATTTTTCAGTCTTGGCAAAGGTCTTCTGACTGCTCCTGTCGTAAAATATGATGAGGGTCAACGAATCAAATTAATTTTTGAAGAGTAATGTGATTATAGGTCTTTTAAAATAGCCGACTCGTTGGCACGTATGAAAGGCTGCCGCCTAAGAAATACTCTGCCGATCGCATTCGCCTTGCGATCTGATGTCAAAAAGCTGCGCTCGATGCCAACACAGTTAAGCAAGCACGGCCAAGAGTCAAGCTCTACGATGTCGATACGAAGACATAGCCCGTGTTCCTTGATGAAAGACTTATCAGTGACTAAACCAATTAGATCAATAAGGCATATAACCAGCTCTTAATGGAGCTGAATTAAGGAATGGATGGCGCGTTAGCGAATCGAGTGAGCTTGAAACTTTCCATCAAATTACCTTTAGGTCTAATTACGCACACATCGGGAAGCCTTAGCCAGACTCTGATGACCTGCCACACTCTTGTTTTTATTTGACAATGGCTTTTGTTACAATTGTCATACACTTGGTTGAATGGATGTGATGGCTTGTGAATAAAGAGAGAATCAGGTCCATCGCAATGAATTTGCACGAGAAACATTTCAGCGCCCTTTTGCAGCCTTGCTTTGAAAGCTGATGACATAACTTGACGAAGATTCAGAATATTGGTGTTGGGTCAACTTGCGTAATGTACACCGTTCAACCAACCGCATTACACTGGATCTCTCAAATACTTCTGTTCTTCTGTTATGAAGAAGAGAATGTTTAAACCTGATCGTTAGGTGACAAACAGGAGGACAGTACGGCAAATTGAGTGTGGGAGTTTCATTCATTTCGGATACATCCAGGGAGGATTAAGGCAACCTATTTTGGATGGCGCAAAGTGTCAGCTTGGAAGTGTGTCAGCGCCACCAATGAAAGTAGGCCGACACATTTCAGATGAGTATTTGTCACTTTAACCACACAACAGCCCGCTCTTTCAAAATGCACCACTTTGGGTATTAAATATTTGCCATTAGAGCAGCGTCGCTGAAGGAGTAAAGATGTGCAGTCAGAGTTCCATGAGAACTTCAATGAGCTGAAGGTGACATTGAAACTCATCCTTCAGGTCAGGGGAAAAGTTATTTTCAAATTTTAATGTTAAACTATGAGAAAGACAATGCAGGAAATGAGCTGTGTTGCCTTCTTGGTTGATGTGAGGAGGTTTGGACAGTTGCACAAGGTCACGCATTGCTCACATTTTATTACTACTTTGTGAGTCACCGTGGATGGAAAAAACGATAAATTCCTGCCTGTTTGTGTGTATTGTGCAATTCAAGGCATGAAAGGGAAAAATAGACAAAGGGTGTTGTCACTCATAACAGCTGCGGCTGCTCGACTTAAGCGTGAGCAAGCAAGCGTACGATACTCTCGAGACAATGAGTGTAATTTAGTGTTCAGCGAGTAAAAGTGGGCATGCATAAAGTATCTTGACACTAACAAAACTAAATGTGCATTTGTTAAGCTTGCAGGCGGCAATGCGGGAGAGGCCCCAAAAGCACAGAAAGGTTTCGCCGTAAAAGCTGCGCAGAAAATCCACTGGTGAAATGTATTTCAACACATTTAATGAGGTGTGAGGGCACGGAGGGAAGTGGACAGAGCGACGGGGAAACTAAGCTTGGACTTCTTTATGACCTGCACGTGCACGGCGTGCAGCGCTTTGAACGAGACGGAGAGAACAGCTGATATGCCGCAAACGCCAAGTCTCCGCATTATGACCTTGTACCTGATGCATAAACAAGCTGAATGGATAATCAATTTAGTTGTAACATATGTCGGAGCCACATCAATTTAATTTCCATCATCGGCTATGGGGACTAAAATATTACTGCGTTAAGTCCGTTTCGATGACAAATTTGTGAGGATATTAATGTCGTAAACAGCTGTGAAGCCTTCATCAACAGCATCTAAAGAGTTTCGAATGCAAAAGCAGACGTCTCCATTTTCTGTTGGCTTAGTAAAAAAAAAAAATTCTGGTTTAAAGGCTGAAGGTGATATTTTTTTTTATTTACATTTTTCTAAATTAATAAATCGTGCAATTTGCAGAAGGCTAATTTGGTCTTTAATGCAATTTTAAAACAAAACCAGCTAACTCCAAGAAAATAAAATGTTCACATGACTTAAGATTATACCGAAAAGTTAAATGCTTTGTGAATAAAAATGAATAACGGGTACCAGAAGTACAGTCTTTTGAATTGACCCTCAACTTGAATTTCCCCTTCATCCGAATCCTTTAAACCACACGTGTCAAACTCAAGGCCCGGGGGCGAGATCTGGCCCACCAGGTCAATTTATGTGGCCTGCAAAAGCAAATCACGTGTGTCAACGAGCTAAGATCTGTTCCAAAATGTCAAATTGGTGTGTGTAATAAATAACATTCAGATTTTGCAATAATTTTGTTCCCCTGCTTCCCCTCACTGGAACAATAATTGTACAAACTATTTTAATCTACTTGACTGATTTCAAAAATAATAATCTATTAAT